TTATTATCATGTGTTTATTGTTTTTATTGAAATAGCAGACAAATATTTGTTTGGCAAGTTCTTTAAGCTTAAGTAAAATGACTTTTTTATTTTTAAAAAATTTGAAAAGATTGAATCTTCAGTTTGCTGGTGAAGATATCGATTGAATTCTGGATTAATAAACTGAGGAATTTTGTCTTTTATTTTTGGTTTAAATATAATTATCATTTTTGATATTTATTAAATTTTATTTCAACGTTTGTCCCAATAACAGATAAATTTGATCACACTCCTACTTGAAATTGATATTACAGATCCAAACCAGTCCATTGTGAAATAGATCAAGAAGGCAGAATTAGCATGCCATCTTTGTGGAGTGATAGAATGCATTGAAATATCAATGCATCAAGCATGCAGATCTTATTTGCAAACCAAAAGAAAACATGGAAAAAATCTGTTTTTTCTAAGTATAAATGACAAGAAAATATACAGGAATGCTACTGATTCCTTTGAGATGTATAAACAGTTCATTTGTAGATTTCTGGAGTAGCAAGTGTCATGGTACAACACACATTAGTTCAAAGTTTGTGTCCCAAATTCACAACAGTCAGGTGTTTTGTTGCAAATGTAGGTTCAATTATGACAGTTGATTTGCAATGGATATTTAGTTTTAAGTCATTCCCATTATGGTGTAAAATATCTAGGAAAGGTGAAGTAGTTTTGCAGAGATATATTAATAGAGCATCAATATATCAAAATTATGTTGATTGTTTAAATAAAATATTTTGGATGAAGGACAGATTCAATTCTAATAGCCTAATAAAAATTATCTCCTAAATTTCTACTCTCACCATAACAACAAAATAATCTAGAATAATCATTGGATTCTAATTAAGAGCATACACAGTTTGTAGCCCACAATATTTATGCAAAGAAGAGAAATACATTGAAAATATTTTCATGCTCCCCAAATACCCTAATTATTTAATATTCAGTGCTTCTGACAAACCCCAAAATTAAAATTAATATATATTATTCTACCTAGCAAGTTTATCACAACTACAAGAATTTATCTGAATTTAACATAAAATTTGTTATAACTACTTCTAAAACAATAAGATATAATTAATAATAAGCTAAAACTTGGAGTTTACTCTATCATCTGTAATAATTGCCACAAAGACTAAATAGGAGAAACATCAAGAAATTTACATGAAAGAGTATATGAATACAAAATAACACATTCAATGCATTCAGTGATCACTAATGAGTCTGACCATAATTTCAATATTTTTTTTAATGCTACTTTAATTAATAAAAAATAATTTACTGAGACAAAAATGTGTAGAAAGTTTTCATTTCTTAATTTTAAATTTCCCAATTAATTTTTTATCCAGTTTCTTGTAAAATCCTTTTCTTGATTAATCTTCTGTTATCATTATGTAAAAAAAACAAAAAAAGAAACCAAATTCAAAATTTATAAAATTATATAAAACAAACACATTTAAAAAAAAAATCTTTTTTGCTGGTTTTATTCCCCATATCCTTCATTTTTTAAACTCATATCAATATATATCAATTTTAGTCCAATGAAATTTTTTAAAAGCAATTTTTTTGCATATTTTACAAAAAAATTTTTTTTTTGACTTGTTTCAGGTTTTTTTTTTTTTTTGTTCTGATATATAAAATAAATTATATATATCATTTTTTCATCACCATATGTAAATTGGCATGTTTATTTTGGAATAAATACACAAAATTCAAAATATTTTCTCTGCCATTGGGAACTCTTGGTTGAATTAGCTGTTTTAGCATTAAAGCCACAGGTCATCGTGTTAATAAAAAATTGAGATTTTTGGTTTTGTTCAAATTGTTTCATCATTTTCTAGATAACATCGAAATCTTTTAGAAACTGTAACTAAATATGTGCTCAACATATTGCATATATAAACCATTATTTAAAATCTGTTTTGTTGAGCAAAAATAAAAATTTGCCTGAGCAAGCATCTGCAATAGGGTTGGCTAGCAGACAGGTAAAAAATAATGACCCAAATATTTATATATATATATTATTCTTTTCTGATAGCAAATGGAAAACTGTTTCATTGAAATTAGATTTGATTGTATGTTTCACCTTTCTAAGATTCATGAGATCAAATAATATTAACTTTTTTTTTTTTTTAATTCTTTTCTTTCATCACTAATGCTTTATTATTTAAATATTTGACATATGCATATTTAGATGCTTTCAATTTTTGAATCTGATGAAAATATAAACTGTTTTTAAAAATCATGTTTTTTTTTAAACTTTTATCTGGATGTCTATTTGCTATTTTATATATACATTACACACATTTTCCATTAAATATATCAATATCCCTACCAATAGCACGATTCTGACGTTTCATACTAACAAAAAATATTCTACAAATGCTGAGTATAGATGATGGTTTGATAAAAATTAAATTATTGGTTTGATCACAATGTTTCGTCATAATATTGAGATTTCATTTCTTAATTTTAAAAATTATATTTAACAATTTAAAATAAATTCCAGTAATCCCATATATATTCATTACGTGCTAATACCCTTAGGAAAGGTATGAATCCTCTTTCTCCCCTAGCTATGGGTAAATAGGACAGACCAGGTTCTATAGCCTTGGATGGCAACTGGTCTACTGCAGAAAGAAATGGCAACCTACTGTGGGGGGGGTCCCTCATCAGTTATGTATTGAAAGATACATGATCACCTAAGCATGTATCTACTTTTTTTAAAAAAAAAAAAAAAGAAACTAACTTGCCATTTCTTTTAATCTAGGTCAATATATTTAAGCAGATATTACCAGAAAGGTATAACTGCGTAATAATAAAACCTGAGGGGGTGGTGTTCATTGTGTTCATAGCAAGTATTTACACCAACACTTTGTTATCAGCACTTCCAATAAGTGTGGTTGGTTCTGCACAAGCCTTCACCACTCTGAACAAATCTTTTGTGTGGATAGTCTGCAGTTCAGTTGTGTGTTCCTTTGCTATTCCAACTGAACAAGTCCACTGGGGTGAGACACGTACAAGATTGAAAACTGAGCTAAAAGACACTCATACATCGAAAACAACAGGAGAGTCCATCAGCATGCATATATATATATATATATATATATATATATATATATATATATGTGTGTGTGTGTTGTAATGTTATGAGATTAAAAATTATATAAATCTTTAAATTTGAAAATTAATAAGCGCTTATAAAAAGTAACTTTGTTAATAATACAATCATTTTTATCTGAACCTGATGAGCCTTAACATTACAAAAATTTTAGTCTACTTAGATAAGTCTCATGAACTTTTTTATTTATTGATTTTTATATATAAACATTAATGAGAATAAAAATTATTAAAAAATTAACCTGTATATTCTGTGTGTCATGTCCTTTCAGGATATTGGCGATCGTGGTTCTCCATAATTTCCTGTCCTTTGTAGCAGTTAATAATTTTTCTCTTTTTGCCATCACTCCCAAACACCACTCCACCATCCAATTCATTCATTTCTGTTGCTCCAAGTTTCTTCTTCATCAGTTAGGAAATTGCCCTGCATTCACTGCCATATAGGAGGACTAACAGGAGTATATTTTAAAATAAGTAAAATTTGTGAATCAGTACTCTCTATTAATAATAACAAAAAAAGTTCAAAAACTTATATCTCAACTTTGAACTTCAACTGAGTTATCTTGCCCCCAACCCCCCAGTAGAACAATTATCTTTGTACAAATCTCTGAGTTAGAAAACAAATCTAATTTTTTATTAACTAGAATTTTTTTAATGCTATTTACATTCTTCGGACTGTTGTCCTTGTCTTTGTTATATTCACAAAGTTTCAGCCAGTGTACACTTTGGCCTTCATCAGGTGATATTTGTTGAAACTTCAAACCGATCCCTTTATTTCATTTACTGGAGTAGATTGTTCTAGTTCCACATGCCATGACTTTTTTGGATACCTCAATTTCATTTATTTCCCTTTAGTAACTCAACTCTCCACGTTTTTGTTTATCTCTGCTGTGGCCAGGTATTGAACTCACAACTTTTTGGGTCAAGTCACTGGATTACTTTAAATAACGCTTTTATCTATGTGTCCAATGAAATGTCGTGAATATAACAATGATGAAGACAACAGCTTGAACAGTGTAAATAGTTACAATATCTCATCTCAGCAATATAGACAGATCCTGAAGAAGGCCGGAGCGTAGAACTGCTGAAATGTTGTGAATATGATATATGATTTCAGCAATATAAACATATGTAGAATTTTTTTGTAACATACTGATGCATGTGAAATCCTCACAGTATCTATTATTGCAGAAGTCATCACTAACATTTTTTGTTGAGATTTACAAACTCTACATTTTGTTCAATTTCAAAAATTTGTTTGGAAAAATACTTCACAGTTTAATAATTTCTTTAATTTTATAAGACTTCATTGTAAATATGATTTCTTACTCTTGAGCATGCAACATATAATCGTCATGTGTAAATATTTCTTTCTGGAGCCAAATTCCAACTTTTGGAAGTGTTTGGCATTGTGATTTGTTTTATAGTTCTCACCAATGCAGGTCAAACTGGAAACTGGATTCTTGTATATATAAAAACTTAAGAAAAATGCAATATTGTTTTTTGCATTTTTCTTTAAATAAGTACTTGTTATTTTAATCATTAAATTGTTTTTAAAATAAAGTTAAATAATAAAACTTAATTTTTCAAAAAAAAAAAAAAAAAGAAATGAATGAAAATTTATTGTACTAAGCTACACACCCTAGTAAAACTGACGGTACTTTGTACACCCTTACCTGTTTGCACTTCTCCCCAAAATTTGGTTTTGACAGGTTGATGTATGGCTATTTTAGAGAGTGTGATAGACAGACTAACTGAAATCACATGCTTATATATATATTATTTACTTATATGTTTGTGTCTTTCTACAATAATCTTTGTAAACTATTTTTTTTTTTCCTTTCTGTTTTCAGGCTCTGAGCCTCGGAACAATTGACCAATTTGGTCAAATAGCACCAACCAGTCAGCCACGGGCAGAATTGTTGAACTGCAACCCAATACCAGCCCTGACTCAATCAAAGGATAACTTTCTAGACCCTTGTTGCAGTCATGGCTCAACTTCTTCCTTGTACACTACATCTTTGCCATTACGGCCTGTACTAAGTTCCCAATCATTACGTTCTTCTCGTGTGTACAACTCATTACATATATCAGACTTGAATAGTACCTTTGCAAAATTAGTAACTTCAACATCATGCAATGTATTTATTGCAAGGGACAGTGATTTTGTTACTAGTTTTCCTTCTCCACTCAGGGATGTTACCACATGCTCATTCCACCTATCGGGAGATAAACCAGGCATTGGGCCTACCACTGTAGTGGAGGTACTGGTCCCAGCATGCACAAAAACTCAGCCTCCGTGTTCCTCTCTGTCATGGAGTAATTCTCAACCCAAAAGTCAACTGGTGAGTTATAGCTGTGAAAAACACAAGTCTTTGGAACTGACTTGCAACCCATCGCCAAGCCCTGGAAGTTCCAAGCCGCCAGCTCAAAGAAATGGACCATCAGAGGAACAGCTCCATCAAGTGAAAGAAAGACTTATAGAAGTTGTATGTATAATATCATACGTGATACTAATCTATATAATTTGGTTTGTAATACTTTTCTTCCTTAGGTTAATGGGAGTAGATAAGTCTACCTATCATCCAGTTCACACTCCTCAATCTTTTGAACAAGAATAGAGGTTAATCTTTCATTTCCTGTTTTGGATTGGGTTTCCAATTCCTTCTAAAATCTTTTCCTTCTCTATCACTTTCAGTTACCTCTTGTATCTTAGTGGCATTATTGCCTTGCTTGGAGTGAATTTGCTACCTTGGTTTCAACCTTATGGTATCCTTGGGTGATTTTTATCAAATGACCACCGAACACTTTCTTATTTTTTTTTATTTATTTATTTTTTATTTTTTTTTAACTATGCTGCGTTATTATTTTCAAAAATAAATGAACAAACTCATGACATTGGGTGTAATAGAAAGGAAAAAATTTTTTAAAAGACAATCACATTATTTTCAACCTCTGCCAACAGGAAAAAATAGTGATTATAACGTTTCTGGATTCAAAGAACCTTTTCAGAAATCTAAAGTCTTAAGTCCTTGCTTACATAATTTTTCTTAAGTGCATATGAGGATGGATTAAAAAAAAAAAAAGCCCCCCCCCATACATTTACAATACACTTGCTTTCCTTTTCTTCCCCACTTCTTTTTCGTCTTCCTTCACATCCTCCTCCTCCTCCCTTTCTATTAAACCCAACGTCGTGCATTTGTTTATTTTAAAAAAAATAATAATGTAGCATCCTTTTAGTTTTTTTTAAAAAAAAAGATGAAAATAGCATTAGGTGGTCATTTGGTAGAAATCGCCTGAGGATACCATAAGGTTGAAACCAATGTAGCAGATTTAACTGACCTTGCGATTTTTGATATATATGTGTATGTATAAAAATGTGTGTGTAATAGAAATTTTAGAGATTTTAAATAACTTAACATAAAAAGAATCCTCAACAGAATGCAGAAAGCACTGAATGAATGTTTCATCTTTATGGGCACTCATCAGCAGTGCGCATCCACTACTGAGAATCGTAACAGTCCAGGTTTGATTCTCAATAGTAAATGTGCACTGCAGATGAGTCCCAAAAAGGATTAAATGGCTATCCAGTGCTTTCTGTTGAGGATTCTTCTTCTAGACTCATTAATTATGTGGAGAAAATATAAATATATATATATATATTACACATACTTGCAGCATTTAAACTAGCTCCTGAAGAGGGATGTCCTGGGTATGATGATAAACTACATCCAACAGCAAGCCCTCTGATAATGTTTTTGAAGAAATAATGTTGCCAGCTGTACGTTTTTGAAGAAATAATGTTGCCAGCCGTACGTTTTTGAAGAAATAATGTTGCCAGCTGTACGTTTTTGAAGAAATAATGTTGCCAGCTGTACGTTTTTGAAGAAATAATGCTGCCAGCTGTACGTTTTTGAAGAAATAATGCTGCCAGCCGTACGTTTTTGAAGAAATAATGTTGCCAGCTGTACATTTTTAAGAAAAAATATTAACAGAAATAGATTTTTGACAAAGCAGAAATGTTACCAGGAAAAAAATGTTGTCAGCATTAAATGACCCACTGAAATTGATATGCTGTAAAACAAACCAAACCAATTCTGCAGAGGGCTCTTGATTGGGCTTTCATCACAATAGGTAGGGAGGCAATAGGCAACAATAAACTACAGAAGAACTCAAAATTGATCACTGCATTTACATATGGCATTAATATTTAAACTTACCTTTTAAAAGTTCAAGAATGATTCTTCTACTGCCATTTAATTTAAAGAAAATTTGGTGTACATAGGTCCTTACTTTCTATACAAACAATTACTTTTATTTTATAGGTAATTTTTGCTGGCTTCCACAATTAATTTTGATTATTCCTGAATTTATTTCCAAGTTATAAAAATTGTTATTGTACAAAAAAATTTATCACAAAAAAAAGATGAATAATTGGGAATCAAAGATTTCAGGATTGCGGGTCCAGATCCATCCCAGAATGTTTTTAATTTGCTCATGGAGTTGGCCCGATTCCAAAATGGTATGATGTGTTGGGCTGTGGCCTCTAGGAGTAAAGTTGAAAAAGTTTGGCACACTGACATTTGTGTGTGTGTGAGATATATATATAATGATAAGGAGCTAAGGTGTTTTGTACTGCCCAGCCAATTTGAAAGCCAGGACCATTGTTCTAACTCTCTTTCTCTCAATTCTATGCATAATTTTTTTTCTTTTTGCTTGATATAGGTTGTATGGGTCTTTATTGAGGGTTATTTTTATATTAAATTATCTAATCACATCTAGCTGAAAAAGTAATAGGCAAAAGGAGACCCTTGCGTATTACTGGTGTTATCACTTCCACTGGGTGAATTGATTTAAAAAAAATAAAGATAATCACTATACCTCAATATTTTATGAAAAGAATTTTTAAGTAAGCATTTAAAGATTCTGACAAAAACAAAAAACAAATTAGTGCTTATGTTATTGATATATGTGTACTATTTCAAAATG